AGATGGCAATATTTTTAGCTTCCGTTGCACGTGATTTGTTATTCAAAATGCTCCAAATTGATCCTGAAAAACGGATAAGTATTGATGAAGCAGTACGTCATCCATATGTAAATTTATGGTTTCGAGACGAGGAATGGAATGTACCACTTCCAGAAAATCGTTATGATGCAAATAATGACCTTATCGATTTATCAATAAATTCATGGAAAGGTTATATTAATTAATTGCATAATTTTATCATAAATTAGTTGTTCAAATTATTGATTATCGTTATTTATAATCATATTAACCCAATTAAAAATTTCATACCAGTAATCAGACTATTAAACATAGATTTTTCCTCCAAGTTTTTGTTAAAAGTTTTGGATAGACAAAAATAATTGATGGAACAATGGTTACAAATGCTTCAATTAGCATTTTCTAGTATGAAATTTGCAGGGTAATAAGAAAAGATTTTTTAAATTTGAAAATTTTAAATTTGCAAATTGAATGTTTTTTTAATAATTGATAAATAAATTTTCAGAACTTTTATTCAAAGAAGTGAAACGATGTGAGGAAGAACATTCATCAGAAAATACAGATTTCGACATAATTAATAATTCTAAATGAAAAATAGTAGCAAATTTCATTTTTTTTTTCAATGATCTCAGAACAGTAATTTTTTTAATATTTGAAATTTTATTCCTGTTAAATTTTTTTCATTAATTAATGCTTTTTTAAAAATTTCATTAACGTCTATATATTCTTTTTTCTGTTAATTTCTATTTAGTTACATATGAAAGGCTTGTTCCCTTTTTCAAAGAAAAATATTTCATCTTTTTAGTTTTTTTTTTTTAAAATTTCGAGCAACTTAAACAAGTTTATACTTAAATTTCCTCTAATTTTTTTATTATTTTCTTTTTTTTTTCTATTTTTTTTAAAAAAGCTCATTAGAGCATTTCATTTATCAAAAAAAAAAAAAATTTCTGAAGCATTCATTATGCTTTGTGTGAAATGTTAATTAAAAACATATTTGCTTTAAAAATGTTCAAATTATTAACGGAAAAGTGTGATCAAGAAAAAATAGTGAAAACAAAACTCGATCGGCAATTATCAGTCCAATTTATAATTAGCTGGCAAATTAATTAGTGAATAGTAATTTAATTTGGAAGCTTTTTCTTTTTTTTAAGCTATGAAAAGTAAATTTGTTTATTGGTAAAAAGTTCTTCCAATTCAGCAGTCAGACATTTTCTATGATGTTCACATTTTATTATCAGTGTAATTTGTAATTTGCTCTAAAAGACTAATTTAAAATTTTAAATTAAAGTCTCGAGCTCTAAAAGGCTAATTAAAAATTTCGAAAAAAATTGATTAATGGTTTGATTGGTGAATTAAAAATCATTAATTGGATTTTTTCTTCTTTATATTGTATACTTTCAATCATATATAGCTGAGTTTAACTTAACCAACTTTGTTGAATTGAAACCTAGAAATGCAAAATACATGATACGTATATATATATATATATATACGTACCATGTATTTTGCATCATGTATTTATTCTCTTTTTTCCTTTTTCTTGAGAAAAATTATTACTGTATGATTTACTAATAAATATGTTTAATCATTATTTTTGTTTTATGTTTTCAAAAAAAAAAAATTAGCTTCGTTTTTTTTGGTTGATTAATTTAAAAAAATTTTCGTTTTTTCGGTACAAATCTGAACAAGAATATAAAATCTTCAAACATGTAATGAAACTTTATGGTTTTTCGTCTTTTGTTTTTGTTTTTTGAAAACTAATTGTCTGATGGAATAAAAAAAAAAAATCAGTGACAATTAACATTGGTAGAGATTAGTAATATTCTAGGATTTCTCAAAATTTCAATCAATTGATCTTTATTAGTTTAAATGATAACACAGAGAAAAAAAAAGACTTGCCATTTTAAAAGTGAGCGAAAAAAAAAACAGAAAGGTTTAGGTGAATAAAAATAAAATGATATAAGAAAAAAATGAAATCATTTTAAATGATATACAAATTGATAGAATAATTAGAGCGATGAAATATAAGGATGATATGAAAAGAAAAGGATGGAATTTAAAAAAAAAAGGACGAGTTAGTAAGATGAAACAAGATTGTTGGGGAAATCAGGGACAAGGTAGTACCAGTAACGAAGTTCCGGATATGATATTCGAGATGTGATCAGTTTTCATCTTTCGTTATCAGACATTGTATTCATCACTTCCATATGTCATTTCCTGCAATTCTTATTCTTTCAATTTTAATTGCTACGGAAGCACATCCACGTTGGTTCATTTATATTTCTTTTATTAGGTATAGCATTTTAGTCTTTTTTTTTTTAAAAAAAAAAGGTTTGTAATCATAACAGACGACAAAAAAAAAGGAAAAACAATCTGCTAATTTCAATTACTTATTATTTGATGGCCGATTAATTATGCCTAATTGATTAAATGAAATATTCTTCTAATTAAATTAAATATTTTGATTGTGATTAATTTTTTTTTTTGTTTGTTAAATCAATCAATTATCAGAATTTCGTAAATTGGTATGCTTAACGGAAGATTCAAGCAGAAAAAGTGGCAATGAAGCATCAAAATGCCATTTAATATTAAAAGATACGGAATTTGAAGAACCAGGTCGAATAGCACCAAAAGAAGCTGGATGTTTTACGGTAGAAATTTTTGCAAAAATTATTTTTCTTATTAAAATAACTTTTCTTCCATCAAATTTTAGAAAATAATAAATAATTTTTTTTTCAATTGAAGGAAAAATACAATACTACAATCAACCGTAGTTACTGCAATATTTTCTGCCCTAGTGCTCATACCGTATGTTTATATTGGTTATGAATTTATAATTTTCAAAAATTTCCCATCCTTTTTTTCTTTTTTCTCTCTCTCTTTCTTAAATAAAGCACAGAATTTCGTTCTTTTCACGAAAATATTTTTGAATTTGAACATGTATATCAAAATGAAAATAAATATTTATAGGTTTTCCACTCAGCATTTGAACTTTTCCATCCTTCTTGCTTTCAATATTACAATTATCAGTTGGTAGAGCGTGAAAATGATTGGTAATAGCTTTTTTTTTTCTTTTTAAGAAATGAATATTTCTTCGTATGTCTTTCTTAGATTAATACAGACAAATGTTTTTAGGTACGTGTGGAGATCTGATCGGTGTTTGAATTCAACGGCGACATTTTATTTCGGTTGTAAATTTAACGAACCCTTTCGCAAAAAATATCCAAGTGATGGAGAAATTTTCAAAATTTTAAAGAGTCGACGAAAACCCTAGTCCAGATCCAAAACATATGATTCAGTGTAATATATGAAATTTTCTATAGATTTCGTATGACAATCATAATGCTGTGATATTTCTGAAGAAGTGAGTGATGAGAAATGAGGTTCAATTTATTCTTTAAAATAAACTCGTTCAAATTTTATAGTTCATATGCTATATTCCAATAAATCATTAATGCTAAGATATTTGCTTTAAGATGAATGATAATATAAAATTCTATGTCACCTATGACATTTCAATACTGTTGCACATAGACATTAAAAATTCCTTTTTTATGCGTATTTAAAGGCATTAGCAGAGAAACAATCAGAAGAAAGATCGGCATAATTCATCAGAATTTCTTAGCTATTTAGTGCAACTTGTTAACCCATTATGTTGTAACCGAATATGAAAAAAAAAAAAAAAAACACTAAACCAGACATCAAATTTTGCAAAATGAAATAAATTGCAACTGCAACCTTTTAAACCATAATTTAAAACTTGCCGTTTTTTGCCGAAAAATTTGCTGAAAATTTGCCGTTGTAAGAAAGTGAACAAGTTATCTAGGGATTTTTATTCAGAAGTAAATGAATCAAATCATGCTCACCTAGAAATGAATCGAATCAGTTAAAAGAAAAATGACGAGAAATTTTAACCATTGGATGTTAAGAGGAACAAAAACATTTCCCAGCTAGAATAATTTTGTACAAAGATTTATGAAGAAAACATAATAATGACTGGATAAGGACAACTTATGGTCTGGCATCAAACTTTGGGGATTTTCTTAAACGAATAATCACAAATGTATGCATGCAACCATACACATATTACTATCACTTGTTAAGCATTACATGAATCCAAAATTTGAGTAATATTTAATCAGAACAAAAAAAACATTCAACTAGTTGAAGTTTTATTGATTGTGACGACTAATTCTTAAGAAAATTCTTAAGAATTTGTTTAATATATTGTATACCTGCCAAATAATCGATAACTTCAACGCAAGCCACCTTCGAAAATCTAATGCTTTGCACCTTCCCCATGCAAAATTTATTGCAAGTACTGAATGAATTGAATTAAACGTCCGAATCTTGATAATAAAGGTATGCAAAAAAAGCAAAGTTAACAGAAAAGATTCACAAACTTTATGTATTAAAATCTCTAAAAGAGCAGCAAGATTTCAACCCAAAACAGCATTACCACAATTAAATGAAAATCAAGAAATCCACCAAACCAGTCGAGTGATGGTTTTCTAAGTTAGATGAAAGAAACAAAATGATTTACAATCAATGCAAAAAAAAAAAGACTAAAATACAAATGACATTCAACCATTGTATTTCGCATCTTTGAATAGTGGATTCCAATATGAAAGACCAATACCAATGAAATACCACACAAATTGACACAATTCATTAATGACTAATTAAATGGCGGCAAGCTTCAGAAGAAAAAACCAAACGTTGTGACTGTCAGATAAGTGCAGAAAATTGAAAGAACTTTAAAAACTAATCGATGGTTCTTGTGAATGTAAGTACTTTAGAAACACATGCGCATTGTGAATTTCTCACAAAATATAAACAAAAAATAACACCGTAAAAAAAGATGATAAGAAATAGTCCACATCCAGCGAGAAACGGCCATCCTGAAAATCTATGACATCACTGTCACTAGGAAAACAAGCACCACAAAAAAAAAGGTGGAACAAATAGAATTTGGTAATTACCTACGACGACTTGCTAGAACCAGCTTGATCAGCATCATTTTGCTCCTTTGTTGATTTCTTCTTTAATGAATTCATAAATTCTTGTTGTGAAAGCGCCATTACCTGTGCCAACAATGCGTTTTCCTCGGCATCCGATCCTGCTGCATGAAACCATTCGTTGGCACCTGTTAAATGAATATTTAGAAGTTCTAAATTTATTTAAATACAAAATAAGGATACTACGACCAGCTTCACAAGTAAAATCGCTCCGCAACATGCTTATCACAGTGATCATGTGAATTTCGGCGTATTGTTCTAGATGTAATTGAAATGCTTATACATCGGTATAGATACTTTAAATCTTCTATTACTAGTAATTATCACATACGTCGCACCAATTATACATTTCTTATACGTGTACTTAAATATGATAGAGTTATTTACAGAAAAGTCTTTATACAATCACCTAGAATTGATTCAAAAGAAGACACCTATTACGCCATCACTACTTTCCTGAGGTCGAACATTTGTATGTGAGCAACCTGGTTCCGAAACTGCATATGCTGTTTCTCTCATTTCAGCATTTCCAGTTTTACTAAGACTTTTTAAATAATCCAAGTAAGATTGTCGAGCTATCTGAAATAAAATAATTAAACTCAGTTGAAGCCAAATGATATAAAAATATTACTGAAACAAGCAAATGTATACAAATTATTCCATGAGTCAACGGCAAAAATAATGAAGATTTGAACGGCGACCTGTTCACTAATATCTTGCTCTGTACGCTCAAAATCAGTCATTTTAATTTTATCATGCAGCATAGCATCCTCGATCATTTGAACTTCCGATTTCTGCATTGCTTCTTGTAATAGGCTTCTGTCCGCTGCTCCAGGTGAATACTCAGGCAATCCCAAACCAACTCCGATTGTCGCTTTAGTCGGATCAATGACTAAAACTTGGTTAAATACATCTTATTCCTCAATGGTTCATTAAAATATTGATTTAAATCATAAAAAATGTGGCTGCATATCCGAAAGAACTCGCATTTTTTCAATGGGACTGTCTGTTTCAGTTTTTGACCAAACCAACTGAAATTAGCGAAATTAATATCTATAAAATAAAATATAAACTAGACTGACGAAATTATATATTCTCAGTTTTAAAATTATTCACCACTAACCTGAATTATAATGAATTGCACCATGATATGAAAGACGAATGGGTGGGTTCGGTTCTGCGGAAGGGGAGGAATCTAGACGAGAGCTGGAGATATTTCGGGGCTCTGAAATTAGAATATTAGTTTTGCGAAGAAAAAGAAAGTACGCTAAGATTATATAAGCACAAAGAACATACCAGTGCAATACTCATAAATTTCGATTGGGCGTGAAAACATTTCCGAAATTGCTTGCAATTCGACATGATTTCCATGAGCATCACGACGCCGTTTCCGTGTAATGTAGTCATGAAAATCTTCTGTCACAAACTGTGAGAAATGATCACTGTTCTTCTCCTGAAAGTTTATCAAAAATCTTAAGTTATCTTTGGAAAAAAGATAGCTTCAGTTTTGGAGTGAGGAAAAGAAGTTTGATTCGGAATGCTTTACTGACAAAGGAGCAGCATACACCTAAATAAACTAAAGAAGGGTCGCAAATCAGAACCTTTCTGAGTTGAATACCTCAAATGAGATGAGGTACGAAACAAATGGATTACATTATGGCATGAGAAGACATTTTATAAAGTTCCAAGCAAAAACACTGTTCTTTACTGATTTTCTAGGACCAGAAGTACACATTGAATGAGGTACTATTAAGCTTAGAAAATTAGACGACTAGTTTCCGTTTTTTTTTTTTTTATTAGTTTAGGACATTTTTGGATAATAATAAAACAAAAAAACTAAACCATTCAAAAACCACACGGCAAAACTAAACTAACCATGTAGTCCATACAAAGTCGTCTAACATCGTCATGCATTTCTTCATCACCATATATCTGATCCGCTGAAAAGATGTTGAATAAATCAATAAGTTGCTTTTCTTTCTGAATTAAACACTTACAGAGAGAGCGACATTAACATGTTCACTTCAAAAATAGTATTATATTCTAAAGAGAGTTATTTCTCTCGTAATTCATTTCTGAAATAGAAGTCATAGCTATCATTAGCAATGTGTACAAAAAAGCGCAGGAAAGGAAAGGAGAGTGCTATACAAAGTTATCTGATAGCTATTCTCAGATGTTATCTAGGGCTCCAAAATTTACTCAGAATCTACTTCTCTAACAAAAATTTATTTTCAAAAATGAAAATAAAGCAAAAATTTATTTTCAAAACGGACATTTTACGACTTCATACTCACCAACAGCTCGAAAGAGACATGCTCCATCCCCTCGAACAGGTTTGATCACGAGACCACGTACACAACGCAAACGCTCCTCAAACCAAGCTTCAAGCTGAAACAAAATAATTATTTATCCAAACCACTTTGTTTGCACGGTTCTCTTTCATATAATAAATTAAAAAAAAAAAAAATTTTCTTTAATGACCCATCATTTCCAACCTCCTACTACTATAGAAGAATCCTAGTTCATACATTAGTAAACATAGAAGAAACAGGAGACATACATTATCATCTTTAAAACCGGAACCATCCTCATCATCAGAATTAATAATCGGAGCACCTGGAAGTATAACAATAAGAACAAGTCTGTCAAAAAAAGTGCCAATAATTCTTCAAGCAAAAACAGATCAATGCGGAACTTTTTTACGAAGTGACAGTTACCTGGATTTTCCTCAGGAGTACTTTGTCTTGGTTGTTTATTAGTTTCCGGTGAAGATGCACCCAAAGAATGACTGCTTTTACTAGATGAAGTCCTGAAATATATATTTATTATAACTGTGGCACCCGTTCAAGTACCATTTCCAGTGATTTCTAAGAGGTATAAAAACTATTCTACTAATATTCATTTCATCAAATCTATCGTACTATGCCGGAACACTGTCCTCAAGATAATGAAAGACCCTAGTCTCGTGACATTATTATAACGTTTGCGCCACACAGAATGTAAGACGTGAGAAGTGAATAACCTCGAAAATGAACTTTTAGAGCTAGAAATGACAACATTATCATTTTTTCCTCGTTGCTACTGTTCGCACTTGAGTGTCTATATGAATGCATCAACGTTCTGGGTTTAGAAATATCCCAGAATTTTTTATATCGAATATTGGAATTTAGACTGTGTGCAGGAAACAAAAGACCTTCAACGAGGAAAAAAGGCTCAACATTTTAAAAGCTCTGCAATGTGACTACAAATCTTGCAAATATCTAATTATCTTAAAAATACCAAATAACAAAAACTGCTAGGTGCAATCAACGTGATAGAAGCACTACTCTGTACAGTAATTTTTAATAAGACTAACCCTGTTTGCTGTGAAGTATGCCGTTCGGCGCTTTTTATCATTTTCTTCGGTTTAGGCAGTATCGTCATAATCAGTAATCCAAAATAATCACTAATGTGCAATCTACAAAAATGTAATGTTACTGATATCAATTCATAAATGGTATTCCCCGGCAACACGCAATTTCAAATAAGTTTGAATTCCACCTCAAGATTTAACTCAGTCAAAATTATAAAAGTTCCTAGTAGCAACTGCCCTGCATTGTTACATTTCACTAACATACAGATCAACCCACTCCACTTCCCAATCATCATTACAACACTATCGATCTGACCGCAATTTCCACTCTGTGGTGTTGAACCTGTTTCGACAAGTGCTCCTCAGTGCTCCAATGATGCTAGCGGAGATATACGACGGTGACCCGATGTCAATAAGCAGTTTGATAAAAGATTGCGGAGTTTAACACACCTCTAAAGTAATGGAATTATATAGAAAGACTATTCATTAGTCCTTCACAACCTTTCAGTTCGAAATCTTGCAAACCATTATTTATAGACGTCTCGACACAACCAGTAATAGTACAGGCAATGCCTGAGATTACCAACTCTAAATGGATATCAAAACTTTTGCAATAAAATCCATTTTATCGAAATTGATGCACAGCAATAAAGATTTATACAGCATAGAATATTTGTTCTAAAACGGTGAGAATAATCTGTTCAAACTCAATGAAATTTGTAAAGTTAAAACTTCACACCCACCCTTTCTTTACAACTTCGCGAATGTTATGAAAGCTTGAGTTTCTATCTTAAAGAAAATACAACGGAATGAAAGTAGCATAGAACGACAAGTAACAATACAAACATTATAAATACAATATGAGAAATACTTGACTGAAAGCAGAATGTTTAACAATAGATTTTCCTATAATGTTAAAATTTTCCACGAGAACTCTTTAGTTTGAAATCAGATAGGTCAGTTCTTAACCATACTGAGGAACATTAAAAAGACAGTAATTGCAAACAATCAATCACTGCAAAATCATTACATTCGATTTGGAGAACCATTCTGTCGAACATATACGCAAAATTGTACATAAACTATAAAGTCATAGAGAATGTCTATTATGTATATAGCAGCATATTGTATTTTCCGGATCAGAAATTTAGATGAGAAACTAACAGATCTAAAGTTATTCTAGGTGTATCGTTGTCGTGGCTCTCTCCCATCGTCAACAGGATTATCGATGCCTTCACTCATTTCGATCAGAGCTCTTTCTAGAATAACTTTAGATTCCTTGTACTTTTGAGGTTCATTCATTGCATATTCATACATCCAACCAAGTTTTGTCTGCAAATATTTAAATGACTTTTTCAACCTCATTCATTTGAACTCAACTTTTTTCTTTTGAAATTTAACATTGTATAATTGCACTGTATTACATGCAAATTATTGAAAGAAATAATTCTCATACTGATTATATTATTCTTTACCTTGTATTTACATTTTCCTTATTTAATACTCACATATTTTTACTACCTCACATTCAGTCCACCTCATTCTTCCAGAAATATCCGGAAAATGCAAGTGATGCAGTCTGATACGCTTATTCTACTAAATCTTAGCAAAAAGGTAAAATTTGATGTGACAGCAATTTTTAAGCATATATCACTAAGTTTCTTTCAGAAGTTAACATTCTCTGGATTTCTGTACATTTGCCCCAATCTGCTATTATATTCCTTAATATTCTATTATGACAAAACCTCTTGAGATAAAGCATACTGCACTTCTATACCTTACACCGCTTACAAATGACGTCTCGAACAATATGCCGACCGGTAATCATCGTGCGCAATTGCATCTCTGAATATTCAATGTTCACGACACGGTCAAAAAGGAAAGCTGGACCCGTTGATCCTGAAAAATTATGAAACAATAGTTACCCTACAACTGGTCTATAGCTTAGACTTTAAACAAGAAGAACCTTCATTGCATTTATGAGCCACATACAGGCATATCTTATTTTTCTGAACTAGCTACACAATAGCTCGGTGATGAATAACCTTCTTGATGATGATTAAAGTGACGTTCATGTACTATGTGGCTCATGCTAAGTTTATGAGGTACTTCACGTTCAACTTTTTACCAGTAAAATGCTTCGAGATCAGTTCATCCTCATTTGTCAGAAAGGCTTTACAGCTATCACACGAAAAAATTCGACGACCGCCAAGATGTTCCAGGAAATAACGACCCATTCTAGTGTCTACAGTATGATTATTGTTAACATACGAACTTCGACGAACCTCCTTCGAAATATACCGTAAAATTTTTTGTTAGAGAAAAAAACCTGAAATGGAAAAATATAAAAAAGAAACTGGACTTAGTAAAATCTACGCGAATGAAAAGAAATGAAAGAGTAGAAGGATTTTAATCTACTAATTCATGAAAGCAATTCCACTAAGTTAATTCATTTCAATCCGGAAAGAATAGAAGAGAAAAAAGTTCCAGAATATGAGTGTAAAAAAAAAATCTCATTCCGGAATTAAAACATAATCTTTTTTCTCTTCCTCTCCCTCCCCTTCTCCCCACTACCTTCCCACCACAAATCATATTATCCTATGACCCTACCAAATGTATGTATTACATGCATGAACCAGAAAAAAGAAAAAAACTTGACAATAACAATATTACAGAAATAATAAACTAGAATGCTCACAACATTTGTTTTAGCAATACCTTTAAATTTCCCATTAGTTTCCGATATTCCTTCTCCTTCTTACCTGTAAACATAACACTACGATACTAACAATTACAATGCTCAAAAAAGGAAAAATTACTACACCATCCTTAATCGATCATAATATCTCCATCTTCTCATTTTTTTCAATCTTTTCACTTATTTTTTAAGGTTATAATCGTTAGTTCCTTTTTTTTTTCTCTTTCCACCTTTCTCTTATCACTTTTTTCTTCTTTTTATTCCATATCATGTATTACTACTTCCAACTAATTAGATTAATTAAACGCAACGAACAAAGACCACCACACATAAATCGCCTGAAAATTTCAGCACTTAGTTATTTAATAACTGGCGCAAAATTCAACGATCAATTTTGTGGTCCGTTGTTTTTAAACGACTTAAAGATAAGAAGAGAGGGAAAAGGAGATGGAGGGAGGGAGAGAGGGGAAAAGGGACGGAGAGAGAGGGGTGAATGATGAGGGATAAGGGATGAGGTGCTAAATTGAACAATCATTTCAAGTTTTTCGTAATGGTGTTTTTTTTTGCTATTCAATTTTATTTCAGATTATGTTGAAAGGTATTTGGTCAGTTGGCGCACACGTGCGTTCACGCACGTTAATTATAAGTAACTTGATAAAAACGTCGTATTCTACTGGGATAGAACATGCGAAGACGATGAAAGAGGTTATGATTTTTGTTTAGTTTAATGAAAATTTTCATGTCATACAGTTAATATTGTTACAGAGTTCTGTCATTCTTTGTGTCTCACATAACTAAATTTTTGGTTCATTAAATTAAATTGTTGATTAATAATTAGAAAAATATAATTTAAATTTAACACCAAATAGTTAACTTGAATTGATTCCAAAATATACGTTTTTCGATTCATGGTAAATTTTGATACGTATGATAAAAATGGCAAATTATCAATTGCATTAATGTTCCTATTTGAAGCTAAGTAATAATGGAATTATTAAGCATTGATTTAATAAATTTAAAAAAGTAGAAAGTTGGATGATAATGGAATATTTTCAAGTTTCATTATGTATTTATGTTCTAAAGTATCTTTGCATTTTTAATTTGCAATTGCAAAATAGCAAGGGTATTATTTAAACGGATAGGATGATGACATTGCAGATTTGTAAAATATGCGTAGTTATATCTTTCTGAGCAAACTAGTAGTCATTAGTGGTTGTTTATTCGAATTTTGTTTTAGATTGGAATGAAGAAGAAAGTAAATTCGGAAGAGTACAAATGTTCCGATTACTTTAACTTCCAAAAATATTCTTATTGTGATATAGAGGTATTCAGTTTTGTTCCTATGCGATTATAGTCCATAAAGAGTGATTAGTCTTTATTTTAAATATTAATATTTTTTTATTTAGACATACTAACTGTTTGAACATTTATTATAATCTCTCTACTATTAATGATACAATTGCATGCCGAGCACCTTTATTTTTTTAAAATGTTTTTTTAGACAGCCTGGCTAACGCAGAAGTTATACAGAATAATTTAGTAACATTGTTTGTTATAAAACATAGATAGCTTAAAATATATCAGCTTCTGGTGGGTTGCGTGATTGATATGACATGCAAAATAATTTTTAGGCAGAAGTGATACCAAAGCGAATGCCGCAGCCATCAAATAAGAATCCTGACGAAGAGAGAAAAGTCAAATCATAGGATCTGATGTGGCTTTTTCGCGTGATGTACATTAGGCTGTTTATGTTTCTTTTCTTTTTTTTGCAGAATAATAATTTTTGCTGCATTGTTTTAAAAAATATTTGAGAAATCCCAATTTTTTTTCTTCGTAGCTTAAAACTTGGAGAAGAGAATTACTTTACCTTACCTGCATCATTCAAACGGTTCCAATGCTTAATTTATATTAATCTTATTAAGTTGCATGGTACTTACATTTTTTTTAGTGCTAACTCAAAGGCTTAGCAGCTATATATATGTCGCTATGGATACAAAAAATTCGTCTTTTAGGTTCCCTGGGAAATAGGATACTTTTTTGCCTATACGCTTAACTCAATCTTGTTTCTGAAGCTTGTCCGGCTTTCCCTCTTTCTACGACAGGCTTATCATACTTTTGAAATTAAAGCATAGACAAATGGCAATTTCATATTAGTGTCTGCAAATTTAATCAATATCTAGAAGCCTTGTGGACTCTTTTTCAACAACAGTCATCCATAAAAGAAAGGGGGTAGCACGAAATCCCACCTTCCACTGCATGCAAAACCGAAAAACGCTTTGATATTATCATTTCAGAAGCTTCAATTAACTTCAAAATGTAATACCGTATGATTGTCAAAATTAGATAACTCTAAATCGTAACAGCTTTTTCTTTTGAGATTAAAATTGGATTAAATTTGGTAACTGGATAAAAAATGACATTTAAGGTTCTCTTGTTTGATATGCCGACAATCGATTCATATTAATATGTAAGATTTTAAAAAAAAAGCAAAAAAATCTCTTTAACTCATCGTAAAATTTTTCTAACTGATATTAATATCTCTAGCATTTATGTATTGGAACTTCATCTTTCACCTATCATTTTGTATTTCTAAAATTAAAATCCTATTTCAAAATTTTAATTCTCCAGTAAATTTTATTATTAGCATTGATGAAAACAACAGGTGGAAATTTCAAAGAAATGACATTTCAATTTATTCTTCTAAGCTTTAGAAGTGTCAGTGATGGGGGAATGCATTTACATTTGACAGTTATTGATTTTAGTATTCATAAGCCATGTGACCATTCAGTCTGGGTCACATATGTCATCCTATTGCTTTTTTTGGTTATATAAGGATTTTACATTTCATACTTCTCCGACAATAAGCAGGTGTTATAGGATTGATTAGATTTTTTTCATTTTCTTGATCCTTATTACTCCTCCTTATAAGCCATACACAGCAAAACATTATCATCAAATTATTTATTGGAATATTTTGCAAATATTAATATATATATATATATATATATATATATATATATATATATATATATATATATATATATATATATATATATATATATATATATATATGTAGAATTCATGTTATATTTTTGATTGAAAAATTTCTCATTTTGTTTTTACATTCATAATTGCAGTTCCGAGATTTTTAGTTCAATTTAACATTTCTACTCATTTAAATAATTCTAGAAATGTAATAGTTTGAATTAATTGAAATGCACAAAGATGTGCAAAACTTTCCAAAGTGTAATTAAATGATCGTTTTCTCGATGTAAAATTTTACGACAACATTAGATTAGATAGAAAGTGAAAAGTTTTTTCTTCATTTTTTTCTTGTGGTTTCACAAATTTTATAATTATTTAGCCATATTTTAGTGATTTTTTTTCTGTTGTTACCACTAATGTTCAGTTGAGACGGGATTATTTATTCATAAAACAAATATTTCAAGACAGATATAACCGTTGTAATATCCCGATGGTATATAAGTCGCTCACTTATGATATGATTATATTTTATCAGAGCACACTTAAGAAAAGAAAGTTGTCGGAAGTTCTTATCTGAAATATTTAATGATAATTTTGAAAAGTTTAGTAAAAAAAAAAACGAAAAAAACGCGCGAGTGTTTGGAATTGTACGTAAAATTACCATCAGTATATACGTACACACAAGAACAGTTGCAGTAGTTTCATGGTTTCTAGTACTGTTGACAATTTTAAATTCGTTATATTTTAAAAAGTCACATTTTTAAAATCTGTCTGTCAACATTTAATTCAATTTGTAATTTGCGTGAATTAATGGATCACTGATATATCTTTTTCAAATTACTTCAAGATATATAGCAGCATTTCCATCCATCAGGTTGAGTTAAAGTTTTCAAATATATACATACGTGTATATATGTGCAATATTCTGTGAAATTGAATGGACAAAATAAAAATGAATTCTCTAATTCCGCCTGATATGTTCAAAAATTATAAATACTTAATGGGAGAAAAAAGAAAGGGAATATAATTATTTAGTATATGGCAAATTTCAATAAAAAAATTCTCAGTAAATATCCCAAAACTGAAAAAAACATTTTGCACTATTCACAGTAATTAAATTGTTTATCAAGTTAAATAATATGAAAGAAATGAAAAATATTTGTTAGATAAAAGACTAAAAAAGAAGGAAAAAAATGTCTCCTCTTTCCCTCTTTTCAAATCAGAAGTTAAACCAATCAAGAATTTGAATCTGATTAGAGAAATTTAGATTAAATGTTGTTTCATTTAATTTAAAATTGTAAAAAGGAAATGAAAAAAAAAGGCACGTACTTACGCGAAAATGCTTTTCGCCTTCATTATTTATCGCTTAAATTTTTTTAAGCCTACAATATTAAGCTAAATAATACATCTAGGTTATTTTTGCCTCTGTTTTCTTTTTTTTATGTGTGTATGTAATATTTTTTAACAACGAAATTTATAATTATATTCTTTTGCTAAAATTATATTTGCAACCAATATTTGTTTTCTTTTCTCGTTTGTTTCACATCCTTTAAAATTAAAATTTTATAAGATCTGCTCCAATTTTGCTTTTTTTCTTTCTCTCCCTTTTAAGACCAAGCATTTGCTATTTGGCAATTTTTTTCTCCACTTAGACTACATGATAAAGTTATACTTCATAAATCATAGCATTTTATTTGTAAATTTTAACGCTAAATTGTAACCCTCTTGGCTTCTTGCTCTATTTTTCCTTTTGTTCAACCTTTTTTTTAAAATTGTTTCACATAATCATTCCAGTCTCTTAAATGCAAATTTAAATAATAAATGACAAGAGTTTTATCAGTTACCTTCTTATTAATAGTAATTCATTAGTCGAAATGATTTCAAAAGAAAACAAAAAAACAAAAGATAAAGCAAACCTTTTCTTTTTTTTCTGGAATAAATCAGATTATTTCGCTTTGAATCGATTATTGATTGGGTTGGATATAGGTGGAATTGGGAAAATAATTCACAATATAAAAGTAAGGTATAGCAAGAGAACGTTTGGCATTCACCGCGTGCCTTAGTACTAAACATAACAAACCAAGGTCACCGGTGAAAGCGAGACGTCCTTTGCAATGACATTTAACATTTTCAATATATCAATTCGTTTTTTTTTTCATTATATAAATGATGATAATTTTCTATCCAGCGAGTATTCAATCCAGTAAATGTAATCCAAGAATCTTATAAATTATTCTAAGACATTATATTATTCAACAAAAATAATGGTAAAAAGATGAATTTAAGAAATATTTCAGATATGCCAGAAAATGTTGATAATTATTGCTATCATTGGAAAATGTTCCTATGAGTGAAAGAAGGGATATTGGGGGCATCAGTACTGACCTTTGACCTACTACCTTCCCTCTTTTTTTTCCTTCTCACCTATTGAGAGGGGAAAAAAAGATTGAACAAATACTCTTCAGCAGTAGCACATACAGATTTGAGCAGAAATAATGTAAAGTCAGCCCATAATTCAGCGAGTAAACCACCACATACACTTATACGCACGTACACACATACATACATACACATACACACACATACACACACACACACACACACAACATACATGCATGCATGCACGCATCCTATACATGGGCTCCAATTTGCCAATCATTCAAATAAGTCCATAGAGTCCATAGTATCAGCATAATAACCACATTAAAATCAACAAATATTCTAAAATACACTTTGCACATCATTTTCCATAGAGCTTGAAAATTTTGAACTTTTAAAATATTTATGAAATAAACAAACAAACAAAAAAAAATACATGCTAAAATGAGTAAAATTAATATTCCAGACGTTGAGTTTTTTCTCCTCCTCCTTCCTCTTTTTTCTCTCAAATTTTGCTAGTTAGGAATGATACAACATGAAAGCGTTATTTTTTTTTAAAAAAAAGAACATGATTCAAAAGGAAAAAGAAGAGGAAGAAATTAGAGAAGAAAATTGTTAAGTTCTATGAGTTTAAATGATTACCATTAATGAGCAATTTACTGTAGTCGAATATTCCTTGCTATATGAATGAAATTTATTCAAATTTCCTTAATCACTCTATTCCTACCGTTTAATTGATTAATTATTGGTAATTTAATACATATACATGTAATATTTTACCATACATTTATTGTTCCCTATTAAAATAGCTTTTCATATCATTTTTTTTTTTCATATTTCCTTCTGATCTAAAATAATTGTATGGAAGGATTTTTTGAAGAATTCTCAACATTCTTTACAGAATTTAGTGCAGTACTTCCATTATCAAACCATAATCAATATTCATATTAATTGAATAACACTTTACCAAAGGTTATGCCATCTATAAATCTAATCTAGAACTATTCTCCCAACAATACCTATGATTTATAAACGCATTAAAGAATAACTATATTATATATTAAAGGATAACGTATTAAAGGATAACTTATGTATTAAAGAATATAAAACATCTTTTTAAGTAAAAAAGATAAAAAATCTAAATGTAAATGATAAAAAAGAAAAGATTTACACTAGGATAAAAAAAATTCATAATATAAACTAAACTTTTTAAATTCTATTTTATTCCTTTATTCTTTGATCATAACTAAAATAAATGTGAAATTGAAAGATGGAAATAGGAATGGAAATGAGACAGGAAAAATCATCGTTAGGTGAAATGACAATGGCAGATATTTGAGAGTTGATAGATCACTAATATACATATTGTACGGGGGCATCATGAAATGCAGGGCAATATCAGTAAGTGGAGGCAAGCGCGTGGTCCTCACCAGGGCAGCTGGAAATGACCAGACACACTTCCTAGGGCTCTCATTGCCCAGTCTCCACCCACTTCTCCCTCCTCCCTCTCTCCGTCCACCTCCCCTCCTACCTTTCCCCCTTTTTCACCGCAATCTTTGATAATTACTTGAATACAACCAGTAGTAGTAGTACTAGCAATAGCAGCCGCCGTAGTAATAGTAGCAGTAGTAGTAATGGAAACAAACGACAAGTATGAATGCATCCGGAAGAATTGGAAATGAAAAGATGACAGGAGGGTAAATGTGGATGAAGAGAAGTGGGAGGAGGAGGAGGATGAAGAGTAAAACCTCAATCCTTTTTACCTCCTCCCACTCCTACTTCTCTTCCCCTTTCCACTTCTTTACAACCATTTCTTGATCAGAGACAAGTCAGTCACCAAGGCACCCCACCAACAACGACAAACCCAGATGCTCCCGAATAAGGCAAATAATTATCCATGCTGCTGTTAGGATGAAGAGGGAGGCACAGGGAGGTAAAAGGTGACACAATGTCGTCATGTTGTCCGTCCGTCTCTTTCTGGCTTGCTCCATCTTCTGCTTCTGCTCCTTCATTCCGGACTTCAAAACCTCCCACTTTTCTGAACTTCTATCATCTCTTCCTCTTTCTCTTCCACTACCAACCACAATCATCACCATCACCGCCATCCGCTTCCTTCTTCTATCCTAGGCTCTTTCATGCGGATAAAATGGAAGTGAAATAGAAAATGGAATATAAAAGAGAATATAAAGGCGTTCCTAAAGCCCTCAATATTGAACCATCTCTCTAAATATAGATTAAGCTGTACATCCATCTACGTTTTTTTTTTTTTTATACGAAACAAATCTGACACACACGCACACATACACATAAATATTCAAACATAAAACACTGTTATAAGTTTAAGAAGAAGAAAATTGAAACTAAGAAAGTGAAAAGAAAGTGGAGAAGAAGATGGAACATGAAGAAAAGATTAGTACCATTAGTTTTTCTCGATAATCCAAACATTCCGAACAAATTGCACTAACATACCCGATGATGATTATACATGAAATCCTCCTTCTTTTGAACATGAAAATGAGAAAAAAAGGAGGGACAGATAAAGAGAGAGGGAGAGATGAGGAAGAAAGAAAAAGATATGAACGGAAGGAAAGAGTTACTGTAATTAAAGGATGAATTACCGTAATTAGGTGAATAGGGAAGGAAAAGAATTATCACAATTTAGGAAAGAATTGCATTATTTTATTACTGTTGCATTTTATTATTACCCTAGTATTATTGCTTCCATTATTATTATTACTGTTATTACTATTATTATTATTATTGTTGATGTTATTATTGTTAATTATTATTATTATTATTATTATTATTATTATTATTTATTACTTATTATTATTATTATTTTCATTACTTACTATAAATGATGAATGAATTATCAAAGAAATGAAAGGGAGCATTTATGCATTTGTTATTAATAGTACTACATAACCCTAATAGAAATGGAAGTTTTAAAATGATAATCATTATCATTATAAGTGATATCAACACTAATGATACTAACAATGATAATGACAATGATGATGGGAGATAAAAATCGATATGAGTGATGAAATTACAATATGAAATATGAGGATAAATAATGATATAATTTGTTTATTTGTCCAATCATTTTTTGTTATTGTCTAACATTTTTTTTTCATTTTCAATTAGTTTAAACAAGTAAAACAAATAAACAAAAGACAGATGGTATAAAGAAAAGGAAGAAAAAGCGAAGGAAAGAGATTTCAATTTTTTGCAGAATTTAATTTTTCTTATTTTGTTAAACTTTAAACAATTGAACAAAACAATGAAAATTGAAACAAAATTGGAAAGGAAAAAAAAGGATAACCATGGATTGCTTTGTTTGTCTTTGGAATACAATGTCACTTTTTCGCTTCTCTCTCTCTATTCTCCAATTTATTCCTCTTTCCGTCCCTTCCTCTTTTTTTTCTCCTCATTTTGTTTATTTAGGAATATAATAACTTGCATTATAATTGTTTAAACATTTTAAAGAGATAACAACAAGCAGGGAATGATAATAATGATAATTGTGATAGTAATAATGATGATTGTAGTGATGATTTCTATACACCTTGAAATCGATTGCTATGGCAACAAGATACCACATCATGTATCTTCTGTTTGCAAATTTACAGCAAAAATCGAAACAATTTATAACTATATAAACGTAAAAATCTACATGCGTGTCCGTGTACATATGTTTATATATATGTTGGCGTGTTTGTATTTGTGTATTAATATTTGTATATCAAATTTAACTGATCTCAAAAATTGGTTGAAATAAAAAAGCAAAATTCAAATAAAAGTTTTGAAATCACATCCAAACTTTTTAAAATTCGGAAAGTATCATTCCTAATCATTTTTTGCGCAACAATCTAATAATATTAATTACAAAGATTAAGTATAATATGTGAAATATGCAATATTCTAGAGATATATGGATAAAATGAGACAAGAAAAAAAGGAAAAATTAAATCAAATTTTTTCATCATTAATTGTTAACAACTTCCAAATTTAGGAAAAAAAGATGAAACGAAAAGAAAATGAAACCTAAATATATGCAATGTGGAGAAAAGTGTGAAAATTAAGAATTATAAAATAATTAAATTAATTTTTTTCTTTTTCAACGAAGTAGTTAAAATAACAATGCAATTAGTATTTAAATTATGAAGTAAATGTAATAAATAAAAGAATAGAAATAAAAAAAGTGAGAGAGAAAAGATAACATTTGAAATGAAAATCTATATAAATTGCTGGGAAAAAAATTAAACAAAAAAGAAAAAACGTAAAATTGGGAAAACGGAAGCAGCTGGAATTATGTATAAATAAGTAAAATAGGAGGAGGGGAGAAAAGAGGGAGGGAAAAAAAGTATTACATCCAATTTGAATTGTTATCAGATAGGAAAATATATTTGAAATTGAAAAAAATTTTTTTTTGAAAATTGAAGATAATCAGTAATTGAAATGGTTAGAATTTTTTTTTAAAAAAAGGAAATAATAGTCGGATATGAATAATGTTGAATAATAATAATTGATATAATCGATTTCATATAAATTGACATTTTAATGAAATTAAACAAATTGAAAAAGGATGAACTAATAATGGTAGTGGAGGACAGATGGCTCGGATCACCTTCTACTATGAAGGACTACAAACGACTATGATTACAGCTGTTATTATTGTTATTATTATTATTATTATTATTATTATTATTATTATTATTATTATTATTATTATTATTATTATTTATTATTATTATTATTATTATTATTATTATTATTATTATTATTATTATTATTATTATTATTATTATTATTATTATTATTATTATTATTATTATTATTATTATTATTATTATTATTATTATTATATTATTATTATTATTATTATTATTATTATTATTATTATTATTATTATTATTATTATTATTATTATTATTATTATTATTATTATTATTATTATTATTATTATTATTATTATTATTATTATTATTATTATTATTATTATTATTATTATTATTATTATTATTATTATTATTATTATTATTATTATTATTATTATTATTATTATTATTATTATTATTATTATTATTATTATTATTATTATTATTATTATTATTATTATTATTATTATTATTATTATTATTATTATTATTATTATTATTATTATTATTATTATTATTATTATTATTATTATTATTATTATTATTATTATTATTATTATTATTATTATTATTATTATTATTATTATTATTATTATTATTATTATTATTATTATTATTATTATTATTATTATTATTATTATTATTATTATTATTATTATTATTATTATTATTATTATTATTATTATTATTATTATTATTATTATTATTATTATTATTATTATTATTATTATTATTATTATTATTATTATTATTATTATTATTATTATTATTATTATTATTATTATTATTATTATTATTATTATTATTATATTATTATTATTATTATTATTATTATTATTATTATTATTATTATTATTATTATTATTATTATTATTATTATTATTATTATTATTATTATTATTATTATTATTATTATTATTATTATTATTATTATTATTATTATTATTATTATTATTATTATTATTATTATTATTATTATTATTATTATTATTATTATTATTATTATTATTATTATTATTATTATTATTATTATTATTATTATTATTATTATTATTATTATTATTATTATTATTATTATTATTATTATTATTATTATTATTATTATTATTATTATTATTATTATTATTATTATTATTATTATTATTATTATTATTATTATTATTATTATTATTATTATTATTATTATTATTATTATTATTATTATTATTATTATTATTATTATTATTATTATTATTATTATTATTATTATTATTATTATTATTATTATTATTATTATTATTATTATTATTATTATTATTATTATTATTATTATTATTATTATTATTATTATTATTATTATTATTATTATTATTATTATTATTATTATTATTATTATTATTATTATTATTATTATTATTATTATTATTATTATTATTATTATTATTATTATTATTATTATTATTATTATTATTATTATTATTATTATTATTATTATTATTATTATTATTATTATTATTATTATTATTATTATTATTATTATTATTATTATTATTATTATTATTATTATTATTATTATTATTATTATTATTATTATTATTATTATTATTATTATTATTATTATTATTATTATTATTATTATTATTATTATTATTATTATTATTATTATTATTATTATTATTATTATTATTATTATTATTATTATTATTATTATTATTATTATTATTATTATTATTATTATTATTATTATTATTATTATTATTATTATTATTATTATTATTATTATTATTATTATTATTATTATTATTATTATTATTATTATTATTATTATTATTATTATTATTATTATTATTATTATTATTATTATTATTATTATTATTATTATTATTATTTTTGTTATCACTTCTTTTTTTCTTTTCTTTTTACATCATTTAAACATTTCATAAATTATGCATTATTTGATTTGATTTTATTTTATTGCATACATTTATTTAATAACTTGTATGAAAGAAAACAGTGGGGAGAGAGAGAAAGAGAAAAAAACGAGCGAATGAAAATTGTTATTAACCAATTCCAGTGAAAATTAAAAGCCATTAATGCGGATATATAATTAGTCTCTGAATATTAGTTGACAAATTTTAGCATTTTATATCAGTCATAATCGATTTTCTCTTTCAAATTTAATTGCTATTTGAAATTCACTATTTTCCTTCTTATGCTTTTTTTTGGAATTTGAATTTTAAAAGAAAAGAATTAAAGTAAGCGGAAAAGTATTTTCCGTTGTAACAGACAATTTTTCCATGAAAATACTTTTTTTAGTTTTTTTCTTTCTTTATCAAATTTTAAGCTTATCATCCTCTAACTAACTGGAGATGAGGACAGAGATTTATTTATACATTTCTTTTAAGAACATTTAATATGTTCTTAAATTTTTCTTTTCAAATCATTTAAAAGGAAGTAAGAAAATAAACAAGAAAGAAAAGAAAAAAAATTAGCGTAAACGAACTAATTTGATACTTAAAAGTTAATTAGTAAAAATGAATTTACAAAATATCATATCTTTTTTTCAGTTTAGTGATGAATTTTATTTCCAATAATGAGTTAACACCAAATACCACTTTGTAATTTCAAATTATTTGTTTCAATTTGAAAAAGAAAGTATTTAAATTGAAAGTTTCATTTTTTCTAGTGTGAACAGGATAAAATAAAATTAGTAATGCATTTGAAAATAACCTAACTAAATTAGATAAGAAGTTAAATATGTGGCGTGTATATATATATATATATATGTGTATGTGTGCGTGCATGCGTGCGTGCGTTTTAAAACTATATAAATCCTTCTATTTGCAAAAAAAGGAAAAGTTTTGAAGAAGGGAGTAAAATGAGACATGGCCAGTTAGTATATGTAACTTCTTGGACATAACACAACCATAGTTTGCTAGGCTCATGCGATCGTTAGACCTATATTGCTCAGTAGGCTCATGAAATCGTTATAGCTATAGCTTCCTCTAGGCTCATACAATCGTTATCAGTTGTTAGATTCTGTAAATGGAGAAAGCTTCATTTAAAAAAAAAAAAGCTGTAATGCAAATGGCATTATTATAAAAGAGTAAAGGGGGAAAAAAATGAAAAAGAAAAATGGATAGAGAATGAAGGTACTTGGCACAAGGAACTATTAATTCAGTTTCACACTTTAGGAAAGTTTTTAGAGTTTTTAGCATGATAAATGGCAAAGAGAGAAAGAAAACATGTGAATTATGCTAGGCCAAATGAGATTGAAGCTTTTTTCTCTTATTAGCCTATTTCTTTTTTTTTTTCTGCATTAATTCTCTCTTTCTCTCTTTTTTTCACTTTCAATATGGCATGACCATTTGCAAAGTATATCGTTTGGGCTGTCTATTATGGGATTATTCTTTGTGACAAGCTATTAAAAAAAAAGGAGGCATGAAAAAAGGCTTGAGGCTGAATAATAAAAAATCACGTTCTTTTTTTTTTTTCTTTCAAATAACAAATATACACACTATATCTTGGGCTAGCGTATTATAAAAGAAAACTTACAACTAATGGAGCAAATATTGAAACATTAAATACAAGCCATAAGTTAGATTAGAAAAAAGTATATAGTATGTAGGTTTTTTTTACAAAAATAAAAAAAAAGAAACAGAAAAAAAGCCACACTAATGCTATAAAGCAGTTAATTAATTAATTAATTAGATAGATAGATAGATAGATAGATAGATAGATAGATAGATAGATAGATAGATAGATAGATAGATAGATAGATAGATAGATAGATAGATAGATAGATAGATAGATAGATAGATAGATAGATAGATAGATAGATAGATAGATAGATAGATAGAGAGATAGATAGATAGAATAGATAGATAGATAGATAGAGGATAGTATAATGATAGATAAGATGAGATGATAATAGATAGATAGATGATAGATAAGATAATAAGATAGATAGATAGATATAGATAGATATAGATAGATAGATAGATAGATAGATATGATAGATAGATAGATAGATAGATAGATAGATAGAATAGATATTTAGGATAGATATAGATAGATAATAGTAGATAGATAGAAGTAGATAGATAGATAGATATGTAGATAGATAGATATAGATAGATAGATAGATAGAAGATGATTAGATAGATAGATAGGATAGATAGATATAGATAGATAGATAGATATAGATAGATAGATAGATAGATAGATAGATAGATAGATAGATAGATAGATAGATAGATGTAGATAGATAGATAGATATAGATAGATAGATAGATATAGATAGATAGATAGATAGATAGATAGATAGATAGATAGATAGATAGATAGATAGATAGATAGATAGATAGATAGATAGATAGATAGATAGATAGATAGATAGATAGATAGATAGATAGATAGATAGATAGATAGATAGATAGATCATATTAGTCTGACAACCATTTATATTGGCGACATATATGTATATATATGCGACCACAAAAACTTTTAATTTCATTCTTTTACACTATGCATATAAGCATTATACATATAAAGCAGAAGCTTTTTGCTCCTCAAAAATCATTCATATTCGAAAAATCAATTTTAAAACTATCCGTTTGCTTCTCTTTCTTTCACATTCTCATTCTAACATTTTCCCTAAGCTCTATATTTGGCCTTTAGGCTCAAATATGTGTATGTATGAGGAGAAATCGAAATATTTTCACTTCACTGTTAACTAATCTCTTTTATCGCATAACATTTTAGTTAACAAAAAAAAAAAATAAAAAAATAAAAAAATATTCACATAACATTTTTTTTTTCTAAACATAAATAAAACCATTTTTTTTTTAAAAAAAAGCTATTTTTTCTTTTTCTAGAAATATTTTGCTTATTTCAAATTATCGCAACAAGTAATGCATTGTAAGAAACTAAAAAAATTTTCTGATTTTTAAAAAAAAAATGAAAAAATGAAATTTATTATGTCGGAAATGATTAATGTCACTTAAACAAAAACAAACAGTCAAAAAAAAGGAAATTATTTAAATCAAAATTGAAGAAGAAAAGTCTTTCAACGTATTCATATTTTATATAACAAATTATGTTTATTTCATTAGAAATTTTGAAAAACGAAAACATGTATGACTATTTTATCAAATTTTATATACTATTAAAATTGAATAAATGCATGAAAATGAATAATTATTTGTCAAAAGAAACAGATAAAATAAATTAATTGATACTGGTTGAAATATTTCAATTTTGTTACTATCATGCAAAATATTTTTGAATTGATCAATGTGAGTGATTGTAATTGTTTGGAATTTAAAGCAACAAATGAAGAAGTGGAGAAAAAGCGAAAACCAAAGAAAGCAAGAAATTATAAAGTGAATAATGTTATGATGAAATTTCCGGAAAAACTAATCCAATAAAAACTCTAAAAATAAACGCGCAAAATATATCAATATGTAAAGAAATTGTGTAGTTTTTTTTTAAAACTTTTTTATAACTTTAAAAAATGCAAAAAAAAAAACTGTGTAATAAGCATAAAAATTTGCTAATATTTGCAAATACATAGATTTTTTCCTTTTTTTAAAATTCTTAACTTATTAAGATTAGAGATTTTTTCTATTGTTATTTATTTATCTTTTTTGTTTTAATAGATGTATTAATGATTATATTTTTCGTTCAATTATGTTTCACAAAGTATATAAACTTTCCATTTACCACTGATATTTTTATCGTTCATAACTTGAAGGTTTACACAGGTGATAACTGAGTGAAATATGTTATGTATATGTTGTAATCAGTGTCTTATCAGTATCATTGTAAAGGCGTTGTTAGCACTAAAAACGATGCTTATAATTTCACTATTATACTTGATTGGTTCGTTTCATAAATTTTTGATCAAAATATTATTTAGTAAGTTATAACAAATAATCACTACCATATTTTTCGGCATATTTATTGACTTTTGTTAAATAATTATCAGACTTTACAAACGATTGTGTAATTCATTGCACAACTTTATATTCAGACTATTTTTTGGTTATTTTTTGAACCTTTTTATGACTACTTTTACTTCTTTAGATTTGTCGTACGTAATAAAGGCTAGCAAGAATATTAAAGTATCAAATGATAGAAATGTAGAAGTGAAACTTTCTCATAATGTTGAAGAGAAAGAAAGGTTTGAAATTAATATAATTTAATAAAATTAGAATTATTTATTTGGATAGTTTTAACTGATCAATAATTCAATTAAAAGAATTTTAGAAATAATCTTCAATGATATCTTTCTCTTTTTTCTCCTTTCTCACATCTTTTCATCTATTAATGATGATGTCAATATGTTATTTATTTTACTAAAACAATAACAATGACGAATAATAATTAATGCATTTTTAGATATCTTCTTTATGAGTATAATTTTTGGTCTATGACACGAATTTATGAAGAAAGAACAAAATTGGATGAAAGTATTATTGAAATAATAAACGCAACTTATACTTTTCATATCCTACATTATGACCCTGCTGGTAAAATTCTTGGTCGATATCAGGTTTGTTTTTATTTTTATTTTTATATACCAAATTTATTTTTATGTAACTTCAGTATAAAGATTATTTCTGATCAATTTCAATGCTAAGTTTTTCATCTAACTACCATATCGGATTTGTCTTTGCTTTAGTTTATTCAATTTCTAATAAAATTTTTGCTCAAAATTTTTCAAAATATTATTTTTTGAATGATATTCATTATACAAAACGTTACAAATTATCGTATTTTATTTGAAAAAACTATGCGAAAGAAATAATAGAAAGATAGAAATAGGATTGTGCTAAATTGTAGAATAATAGATATTAAATGCTAAATGATTTCAGTTTAAATATGAAATTTAAATATAAGATGATGGCAAGTCTATTCAAAAATTAAAAAAAAAGAAAAAGAAAAACGAAGACAAGAAAGAATAAGAAAATAGCTTTGAAATTTAAGTAACCAATCTATTAATCGCATTGGCAAGAAATGATTGCAAAAAAATCTAATGACTTAAGCAAAAAATTGAAATAAAGTGATCTTAAATTAAAATTGCTGTTGCTACATCTCATCACTTGTGTTTATTAATATCAAAATTTTAAATTTCAATCTAATTTATCTTTTAGTAATTTTTATGGTTAAGATGTAAAAGATGTCAATTGCATTATAAAAAAACCAAAATGTTTATAATACATGTGTATTTAATAAATAAAATTTTTAAGAGTCACATTTATATGAATAACTTAAAGATATTAATTCATATTTCAAGTTTCAATATCTGAATTCATCACTTACATTTAATAGCTTCCATTAAATCAATATTTTACACATTTTTTTAATAACATATTAAAAATAAATAAGCAATAAATGAATGCATCCATCGTATTAAATATAATGTATTACTCTTTCCTTTATCTCTAAAGTGTTATTTTAAAATTAATCTAAATTAACGCATGAATAATGAATAACTAATTAATGTTCAAAATAAGGAAAAATAAAAGATAAGATATTGTTACTATCATTATTAGTTTGAAATAAATCAAAAAAAATAAAAAAATAAACAAATAAACACGAATAGATAAATAAATTAAATATTTCAGTTCCTAAAATGCATTAGTGGCTCATGTCATTATGATATGCCAGATGTTTATGTTAATTTTATCCAAGGTGGAAATAATTTGGAAGGATTATATGTAACAACAATATTAGATGAAAAAAATTGGAAAGTAAACTGGAATGTCCTCTTTGCAATCATTTATGCAACGATGACACCAGCTAAAATTGGTGATGGAGATGAGCAGGATGTTGTAAATTATTAAATTTTCTCTCTTTCTTTTTTTTGTTCGAATTATTTAGGCCCTTTACGCACACACGTATGATGAATTAATCAATTATTTAATTGCTAAATTATTTGATAATGCTTTATTGAATGCATTTCTTTAATATAATAGCAGTTAGAAAAAAGCAAATTGTATATTAATATTTACAAATCCTATCACATCATTACTAGTGAAAATTCATTTGATATGGAAATAAAATAAATTTGTTCTTTTTCCTTTTTTTTTGAAAAAATTTACTTCAACTTTACTATTTTTTTGGTAATATGTTATAGTGTAAAAATTTGAAAATTTTTCTAAATTTAAAAAAAAATCATTACTATAATGTTACAATTAATTTTTGCATATTTTTTTTCTTAAAAATAAATTTCTCAATATTGTCTATTAAATCTAAAAATTGAATAATTTAAAATGAAAGCGTTAAAAATTTCAACTCATTTAACAATGAATTTTTTTTTTTTGCAATCATTTTCAAATTTCATATCACACCATATGGTCTCTGTCATTATCGTTTCTCAAAACCACGCGACAAAATATTTCGAAGACAAATAAACCATTGTCAATTTGATGGTATTCGTAATTTTACAACAATAAATGATGACATTACACAACATGACTATCAACATTCTGTTATTTACATGTATGTTATTTGGTGGATGATAGTTAATAATATTAACGAACTAATCTAAGATAGTTTTACAAATAATAAAACAATTTGAAAAAAAAAAGGTTTAAAAAAGGAGAGAAAAAAAAATTGATAGATGTTAAATGATTGAATAAATAATACCTGTTCATATGTTTTATTAAATTTTCAAATGATGTCTTCTTTGTGATTCATTTAAATGTATTATTTAATTGTGTACACTTTTTTTGTAATATATCATTTATTTACACATTTATTCATTATTCAAAAAAAGAAATTGAATTATATTTTAGGCAAAATACAAAATCAAATGCTGATATTATTGATATTGAAGCTGAAGAGAAAATGATTCTAAAAAGTTTAATCATTCCTGATTGGAGCCTAGTTGTGGAAACTCAGTATGTTTATCGGTTGAATTATAGCTAAGTATATGTGTTAGAATAAATATTTTTAATTTTATATTATGTTTATAATATTTCTGAACAATACGTATATTTTAATATAACTTTATTAAAGTAGTACTACAATAATAAGTTATGCATGCTGATTATGTTACATTTTTAACTAAGTGCAAATTATACATGCAGAATGCTTCATATCTCCCGAAAAATACATAATTTTTTTTGAAATAAAATGAAGGAAGGAAAAAAAAATTTAATTTTTTTCTTTAAATCCAGAGTTTAAAATTTTATTTACATTAATTTATAATGGTATCGAATTTTGCTTTTCTTATTTCTTGTTGAAGAGCAAAAATGAAAATGACAAATCGTACCGTTATTTTTGGCAAACCTTTTTGTTCAACGGAATTATTAGCTGATGAATGCGCTCAAACTGTATTCAAAACAAAACGAATGGGCCGAAATTGGAAGGAAATTAATCAAAAATTGAATATAGGTGTGAAAAAGGAGAGGTCAAAGGTAAATATATATTTATTTGTTTATTTATTTATCACTTATTTGTCTACTTTTTTATATGCATATAGTTTTAATTCTAATCTTTTCATGTAGTTCAATAAATTTTGGTCAGTCATACATTTTCATCATAATTAATCTGATCTGATTTGATGAATTAAACTAAAAAATGAAATAAATGTTGGAAAAACATTACCCGAGAATTTAGAGAGTATTTTTTGTTCATTACTGAGATAAATCATTAGATAAATCATTATCATTGAGCAAAAAAAAAAAAAGAAAAAAGTTTTGAGATTGTGATAAAAATCGGTTTTCTCTCTTATCCAATTCAAATAAATTTCGTGTGATTATAAATTAGAGAAAGATTTGTCATCCTGAAAAATTCACTGTTGTCAAAAAGGAAAAAGAAGGGAGAACATTTGTAAAAATAGTTAATAGTTAGAAATATTGCTGAATAAATGGATAGTGATGGATAGAATTGAATGGAAAGGATATGATGGATAAGTAAATGCTTACTAACTGAATGTCTTTCACCTTTTCATATGACTAAAACATGACTGAAATTGTGCATATATTATACTTCTTATTTTTTTTGTGTTTTAATTACTTATTTGTTGCATAATTTAGCTTATTAATTATATGTTATTTGATATTAAATTTATACTTAAAAATTAGGAAAAATAATTTTATAAAATTCACGCATTCTGTATCATATAATTTTAAAAAAAGAGAAAGAAAAAGGGAAAATGATGTTTAAAGCACTCAATTATCTTGCCTTATTGTAAATAGTTGGGAAATTCAAATATGTTTCATTCATTTCTACTATCTTAAACAGCAAACAACAATAATATAAATTATATAAAATTTTGTAAAAATCCATGTTATAGTTTTCATCTTTTATAATCCACTTTTTTTTAGAAAAAAACTGTCAAGTATATTTGAAATATTATTTTCATCATCTATTCTTATTTATTTCTTTCGACTTTTTTTGTAAAATTATTTTTCGTAATTTTTAAGTATAAATTTAATATCAAATAACATACAATTAATAAGATAAATTATGCAATAAATAAACAAATCATTACAATAAAAAAAAAAGAATAAGAAGTATAATATATGCACAATTTCAGTTTCTAAAATCGGTTGCATCTATTTATGTTTTAATTTGATTGTATAAGAAGACAAAATAACATTTCTAACGTATACTTAAACGTGGTATTTTTTATCATTACGGGAATTCTTGGAATTTTCTAAAAAAAATTAAAAAAAAATTTGAGTATTTTAAGTGTTTATTTCTTTCTTTTTTTACAGCTAAAATTAGTATTGAAAAAAAGCAACAGCGAATTTCCGAACAGGAAAACGGATGGTTTAGCGGCAATTGTGAATGGTGTATTATTCGCAACGGATCAGGATTTATTGGATGCAATAAGGGAATTCCGGAATATGCCAATTATGTATGGCTTAAATTGTTTTGCTAAAACTTAATGTAATCAATTAGAATGAAACAAGCTATTTTTGTTTAATTTTAATGCTACATACTTTTTCATTTAAAATAGCTATTGATAGACTAATTATAGATTTGTCCTTTTGGCAGGCCTATTATTATAGGTCAGTATTTGTGGACGCTATTGGATTAGCCGGGACAATGACAGCATATACGGTTGGTAAAAATGCTTTTACAACTGAAGCGCCGGAATTTTTAGAACGTTTCCTGCAAGCACTTTCACAAACCACAAAAATTGATATTGCTATCATCAATGATCTTAAAGTATTATTATATATGTTATTATTATTGTTATTATTTTCTTTTTTGCTTTTTAAAATTTCTGCCAAATTTTGATATTTTTGCTTATCATTTATCAATCAGAAAATTAAATCATTACTTTTTAATTTTCTATCATACATAATTATTTGAAAACTATAGAAATGAACCTAAAATTTCTTTTTGTCTTCTTAAAAAAAGATAGAGAAAAAAATTAAGTTTGAGGAAATTTTGCAAATTACATTAATTTTTAGATTTGGATGAAAAATACAAACGACAAATATTACGCGAAACAGATAGCATTTACTATTGCAAATCTTTATCGTCGCTATTGTCAATCAACAAAAAGTCGCAAATATGCATGCAAATATGGGAAAAATGATGTAGAAATATTACAAATTTAAATTAAACAACATTGCATTGAATGAAATATTATTGAAATCATTTTTAAATCTAACGAAATTACATTGAATTTTTTGAAAAATATTTAAAATTCATTTTAAGGATATAAATGAGTTCACGAAATCTATTATTGCACAGTGCAAGGATAGCGACTGTCAAATAAACGCATTGCAAATTTTTGAAAATTTACCTTTATTGAAGTTTGTTTATAAATCTAATTTTTTTAAAATAACATTTTAAATTTCACTTTAGCTAAATTTAAAGATAATTACAAATGATAAGAATTAAAAAAAATTAATTTATAAAATAGCAAGCAAATCTGATATATTACATTTTTTCTTACTTCAAAGTTATTTTACATAATTGAAAATTTTGGATTTTTCCAAAAAAAAAAAATCTTACATTTCATTTATAAATATATGTATTTACCTACCAAATTTAGTTTATTACCTTATGCAATTCAATTTCTGTGTGTTACAAATAATAGTGAAAACTTAGTTCAACAAGAAGCACTGCGATTTCTTCAACTTTTTGATGGAAAATATTTTCATTGGAAGGTATGAAATTCCAATTAATTTTTTCTCCATCTCTTTTTCTAAAATTTTTCAATAAGAAAAAAAAGCATTTCAATTAATGAAAACATTTTTTCATTTTAATTATTGCATTTTAGACAATTAACAAATTACTTCGTATCTTTTATAATGCATGTCCTTTACGTCAAACAATTACTGATCAAACGCTTGCCATTGAGATATTACTAAATATTATACCAAATGCAGAATTAATTGGGACATATTTCTTAAGGTTTTTTATTATTTCATTTTTCTTAAGATATTTGAATATCAAACTAATCACAATTGATAGCGTACAAAAATGAGACTATTTAATCTAAAGAAAAGATGATATGCGATCACGTTTAGCGTGAAGTTACGCTCCTATCATAAAGTGCATTTCTGATATTATAAATATATGAAAGAGAAAGATTTATTAATAGTTAATATCAAAACTATAGGTAATAATAAAATAGTAGATAAAGAATTGGAGGAATAAAAAAATTATGAGAATATTTTAAATATTTAGCAGTCATCATGATAGTTGCAATTTTAGGATTATTTTCAAACTTCTTCCCAATTGTCGATATTTTGAAATTTTATTCGGATAGTATTCGTCTGTTTTAAGAAGTTTATCTTTAGGAGCTTTTTTTTCAGTTTGATTTATCATTTAATTTTTGTTTATAATTTATTCTGAACCAAAATGCCAACGATTGTAGGTCTGAAGAACTTTTTCCAGTAGAGCAAGAAAAATGGGCTTACTTTTATAGCAGCGTTGCTCGAAAGCGGCAAACTTCACCAAATGTAAGTAAATTTTAAATACAAATATGCAAATGACATGGATTTAAATGTTAAAAAGAAACTGAAAATTTAAAACCTATTTTTAGTTCAAATCATACTGGGCCAAAATGCGTTCATTTCGAGTATTTCAACCGAATTATGCACATCGTAGTTTAAACGCTACCTCAGATGTTTCTGCAATTAATATCGCAGGTAACTGGTATGATTAATAAGATATCGCAAACGTCTGACATAACAAACAAGATGTCGCAGATAACTAATGCAATCAGTGACAGATCGTGGATAATTAATATAATTAAATAAATATAGCAAATAATTGATATAATTAATGAAATATCATAGGTAAGCTTATACAATTAGATATGGTCAATTATCTATGAAAATACTCAAGTATGGATTAAAACAGTTACGGATTTGAAAAGTTGATATAGTCAATACGATATTATAAATAACTGATATGATTAATAAGATATAACAGATATTTGATATATTTTGTATTAAGTGAAAAATTGTTTTCTCTATTTATTATTTTTGCTGTTCGTTATGTAATCATAAGTAATAAAATTTAACCTTCACTTTTTTTTCTCTTTCTTTTTCCCTCACTTCCTCTCTCTATCTCTCCTTCTCTTTCAATCCCATGTATTTCTTTATTTTAAAATTTATAAAATATCATTTAATTTTCTTTTTTCCCTCACTTTTTTTTCAATGGTTCTATTTGTGAAATTTGAAATAATTAGATAAGAATTTTCATTAATTAATGAAATTTAATGATATCTTGGATTTAAATAAACATATATATTATAGAATTAGGTAGTGGTAACAATATAACAGTATGGATTAAATCAGTTAGTGATAAGGGTATTTTATCATGGAACGTTTTTTCAATTTTGTTAACCTCAACGAAACAACCATCATTTCCTCTTCTTCAGGTTTGTTTGTAAATTATAGTAATTATTTTAATGAACTATTATGAAAGACTAAATAGATCAAGACATTGTGCAAGATAGACCAAAAATATTAAGTAATTGAATTGATCACATTTAATCATTAATGTCAACCGATCTTCCTTTTTCTTGCATCGATTATTGGAAAAAAAAATCACCAAAAATATATATTTATACGTTATTCTACACTAAATTGAAAAATTTTTGATAAAATTATTACAATACATTTTACGTATAACAGTAATAATAATAATAATAATAATAATAATAATAATAATATAAATAATAGTAATAATAATAATAATAATATTAATGATAATAATAATAATACTATGTACATTATAAAATCATAAATAATCTTAATAATCTTATTCAATCCCTCTTTTCAATGCTCAGATGAAAAGAAATGGTACTGTATAAATATCATGATGTATAATTTATGTGATCTATGTTTGTTCTAATAATAAAAAATTTTTATTTATTTTCTTATTGAAGTGTTTAATTGTTAGCATGTGCTATATATACAATGTTTAATTGTTACATTTGCACGTTCTATATATATAATTAGTTAGCAGGATACGTTAAATTTCACCTAAAACTGAAGCATTAAGCATTATAGTCTTAAAATTTGTTGAAAAATTTTCAAATTATCAGTCATACATATAATTAAAAAAAATATGAAAATGAAGCAAAAAGAATTTCATTAAAGTTTTACGATTGATAAAGTTAACTTTCTTTTTTTTGTTTTTTCATCATTTTGTTTAAAAATGTTGTATTTTAATTTTTGCACAGATATTCACTGAAATGAAAGGAATGAAATCATATCTGTTAGAATCCGAAAGTTACAATAGCGACGAAGAAGGAAAATCTGATGATCCAGTGGCAATAGCTCAAATAGGCCTATTGAATAATCGTAACGTACCAGTCACAATTTTTCACGGATATGGTGAATTAATTAATGTTATCTGGAATGCTAATGGTCAACCAATGCTTCTTTATGATGTTTGTTTTTAATTATTGTTAAATTCTAAATTTTTAAAATATATATTTTTCTATTTTGTCAAGTGTTAGTTGTTGTTATTTATTAATTTTTAAATATTTCGATGAATAGTCAGCAATTTCTTGCAGTTTAATTAGATTATTAGACTGATTTAATTTGCTCAATAGAATAAAGTGGTTTCGTTACGTTAATTTTTACAATATATATATAACGTTCAACTTTTTCTTTCTTTCGTTATATAATTCTATCAATTATTTCCTCTGTTTTGTTAAATAATTCTATCAATTATTTCCTCTTTTTATTCCTTTTTCGGTCTGATAGATTTTGTATTAACTGTAAAAAATTTTTAATTAAAAATTAGTAGTCAAGTTTAAGTGCTATAAGCAAATGTATTTAAATTAAATCAAATGATGATGAGAAATTAAAATAAATTATAATTGTTTGCAGAAGAACCTAATTTACCGCCAATATTATGGTTGTATACCATTAATGAGTGGATTATCACTAACAGTTGATGTTATTGGCACAATAACAATTGATATATACGGTTCTGCAACAATAAACTTGTGGAATAGAGATGTTGGGATGAAAGTTAATTCTACGTATGTTATCAATTATTTGATAAATTCCAAAATCATTTATTAATTTATTTTATATTTTATTTACAACTTAGCCGATTTTTCATTTTCATTTTTTTTTTTTTTTTTTTTTTTTGAAGAAATATTTCTTATTATTTCATGCAGTATATCAACAAAACTTGAGGGAAGCATAAATTTGGCATCTTCAAATAATTTAATTGGAAAGGCAACAACATTAGTATATGCAAGCGGTATAGTAAACATTCGATTTGATGCAGATTTCTTTACAGTACCTCATTTATTTTGCATAAGTGCTTCGCATTCACCAATTGTTATCAAGTAATATTTTTCCGTACTAAAAAACACAAATTATTTTACTAATTAAATATGTAACTTATATTTAAACATCGCATTGGCATATTTTGTTTTCTATTCTCGTTCTACTTTCCGCCTTCATTCTCCACTCTATTCCCTGAATTTTCTGAATCTTAGAATAAAATTAGTCCTTGTTTTTCCTGCTTTTGCACTCTGCTCTTACATTTTTGTGCAGTTTATAGATTTAGAAATTTGAATCACATAATTTTCATAATAAATTTCCGAACTTATAATTGAAAAAATCAGAATGGTTAATTTGTTTGTGGTTATACCTAACTTCTTTTTTTACAAATTTCCAAAAAAGTACCTATCAATTTTTTTTTATCTACAAAAAAAAAATTATATTATTTTCTTTCACTTTTTTTTCAAATCCTTTTTTTATACTATACAAATAATTTTCTGTAAATCTCTTTTTTGAAAGATACTTAAAGTTATTTTATAACGAATAAAATTCTTGCAGATATACGTATATTTATAGTACGAAAGCCGGAAAAGAGAAACGCTTATGGCATAACATCAAGTTATCCGGTTCCAGTTTATGGTTGAGTAAGAAATTATCTGATCATTGCTCTTTGTTCGAAAAATAATTCTAGATATTTCATGCTTCAATAAAATTTTAAATTAATTATATTTGTGCATATTTCTTGATTTTGCTAAAATAATAAATGCTTCGGTTAGTTTCCTTCGAACTATTACATTTTAGATCTCTCGAGAGACATGGTACCATTTTAAATCATCTCGAGAGACATTGAATGATTGTAAGGAAAGTGATTGCCATATTTTCATTTTCATCACAGATTTCGAACAAAATGTTAATAAATGCAACACACACATATCTTTCGAATGTTACTAATCACAACCATATTTCATAAAAAAGTGAATATCATACAGTAATCATAACATTTTCTACAGTAATCAACATTTCTCACAGTAGTCATGATATATCCTATAATAGTAGTAATCGTGATATTCCTCACAATAATCACGATATTTTTTCAGTAATCACGACATTTGTTACACTAATCATAATATTCTTTAAAGCACTCATGATATTTGCTACAGTCGTCATTATATTATCGTGATCGTGGCATTTCCTAAATAATCGTATCACACTATGACATTTCATGTAGTAGTTTTATAATATGTTCGTTCATACATAACATTTCTTACAGTAATCATAAGATATAGACAATGATCCCGACATTTTCGAAGTAATGACATTTGTCACAGTAATTACGATATTTTTGTCGAGATCATGCTATTTTCCACAGTAAATATGACGTTTCCTACGGTAATATTTTTTGTAGCAATCACGATACTTTTTACAGTAAGCGCAACATTTTTAACCATGACGTCCACTGTAATTATAATATTTCCTATATCAATCATGATATTTTCTATGGTAAACCTGCAGCAACCGTGATTTCTACGATAACTACAATTACAATTACAATGGTACTTCTTACCCAATTATGATATTATTATGATATGATCATAATATAGTAATCATATAAGTAATGACACTTTCTGCAGTAATCTTGACATTTCTTAAATTATCGTGGCATTTCCCAAGGCAAACACGATATTTTTATCGTGATCGTAACATTTTCCACAGTGATCATGATCTCCTACAGTAATACTTTTAAAATTTTCTACATAATCCCGATATTCCTACAGTATTCTGTGATTCATAAACATTGCGATAAGGATTTTCTGATGGTAATCTTGATACTTCTTGCAATAATCATGGCATTTGCTGCGTATTAGTTATGCGCGGACGCACACTTATCATTGATAATTCCGCAGGTTAAAAAAAAATGAGGTAACATTTTAACAAATGCTATTCTAGTTTGTTTATTCATAAAAATTCATTTTCAGTGGAAACAAAAAGAAAAAAATTTGTGCCTCTCAAAAGTTAACTCATCAATTATTTTAATGAATTCTGATATTTTTATAAACCAGTGTCTTTGAGCTTTGAGATAATTTCAGCATTGAAATCATCAATAATATATGACAATTTACTTTTTATACACCATAATTTACTTTTTCAAAGTCATAATTAAACTAACATCGATATTACAAAAAATGTATTACACCCATTTTTTTTTCATTTAAACTTAACATTTTTAATTAATTTGTAAAACAAATTAATTATAAACGTGAAAAAACTTGTCTGGAAAAATTCCACTGTAAGATTACTGTCGATTTACAAAATTCCAGATACATAAATTTATTTGAAAATAGAAAATGATTAACTAATATATAATGCAGAAGTGCATAAATAAGTAAGGTACAAATCCGTAAACTGACAGAAGAACGGAAAAGGGGAAAACTTTATTATAAGTCTTAAAAATTTAACAAACAGTGTAAATTTTAAAATTATGGCAAGATATATTATATAATATAATGATTTTTTTTTCATCATTTTTAATATGTACAGGAAACGATTGCATAATTCCAAAATCTAATCTGGTTAATGTAACAAAATTTAATCTGACTAACATAACAAAGTAATCAATCTTTAAAATGGAAGTTGTGTATCAATAAAAAAAAAAAATGGATCTTTATTGTCATAGATGATAAGTGAAGTGATCAAACATAAGAAAATTTCAAACAAAAATTTAACAAATATACAAATCAAGGAAAATTTTTACATTTAACCGATTATATTTGATTGCATATAAATATATCAAAAATTTCACGTTATTCATCAACTTTTAGACGTAAGAAAGAAATTTTAATTTTTAATCTCACTTATTTTATAACAAAAGCAAATTTGTAATTTATATAATATAATAATTCTCTTAAAGTTTTAAAATTAATAATTATAGGATTAATGTAACTGAATAAATAGTTGAAAATATTTTTAAAATAGCATATTAAAGAATTTAATATGATAGAACATTATTAAATAACCAGAATTAACAAAAAAGACCTGTCATTTCTCTTGTTTCTGATTTCGCCGTAAATTCTATGTGCTATTAACGTGGAATTGGAGAATTTTAACTTTTATTAAATAATATTAAAAATTTCTCATTGATGGGTTCATTCATGCAACGTGTTAAAATTTTGAACTTAACTAACAAATACTTTAAAAAATTAAAAGAAAAAAATCAAAAATGGAAGAAAAATGAAATCGTTTTTTCTCGCTTGATTATTGTGTTTTATAAAGTATTTTTGTTAAATCATGGTCTTTATCCTTTAAAAAAAAAAAAAAAAATTTAAAAGAAAAGTTAAAAAATTTTTCCCTATTTTTATAATAAGGAATGACAAAAAAGCACATATAAATGTCCTATAGCCATTGTTTAAAAATTCAATCAAATAAAATGCATAATAATTTTTTTTTAATTTAATTTATTGCTTTATTGAATTTTATATTTGCTTTTTTTGTTACTTTTTCTTTTTAATGTTGGCTAGAGCGCCATTTGATGTCCATTCCATCAAACTTATGAATGAAGGTCATTTTTCCTTCTTGTTCCATTTTCTTTAAATTTTCAAATACACCAACAAAGAGAGAAAAAAGCTAATCCACATAAAATAATTCTTCAATAAATTTTTATAGTATATCAAAAAAAAATTTTTTTAACCTTTTTTTTCTTTTTTACTTGTTTAATAATATATACGTAATCAATTCTGTTATTTCTCCTTTCACAGCTTTTTTTTCTCTTTTATTTATCAATGAAAAATTTCGTGTATTCAATCAAAAAAAAGAAAAGAAAAAATTTGAGTTGACAATTCTCCTTCTTTTTCGCTTTCTATACTTTTATCTCCTTTCGTCTGTTTTTTTCTCTTGTCTCTTCATGGCAATATTTTTGACAAAAAGAAAAAAGAAATTTCCAATTTTATTTTTAATCATTTTTCATATATGTTTTTGTATTTTTTATTAGTATAGCTTTGTCAAGAGAAAAGGAAAGCAAAAGCGAAAAAAAAAGAAAAGAAAAAATAAGATTTTATTTTAACTTTGATAAATTTAGTTGCATAAATTATTAAAATTATAACTAGAAAATTTATAATACCATGCGATGTAAATAATCTTTTCTTTTCATTATTTTTAATATTTGACAAATGATCAATTTTACAAATACATCATACAATATGCTTTCTAATTATTACTTTGTGATTAGTTAAACCTTTTTTTCATTTTTTTTTTCATTTACACAAAATGATAAAATTATTGGTATTTTAAATTCAATTTTTCAAAAAATTTTTTATATGCCAATCTTTTTAAAAGAAATTTCCTTCATTTTTAAAGCTAAATATCTGGAACTTAATTATTATTTTAAGATGAAGTGAATTAATTTCATATTAGTACAAATATGAATAACATTATTAAAATCATTGAAAAAATTCCTGCTCGTTTTTATAAAATCAAATTACTAAAAATAAAATCACATTATTAATTCAAATGCTAATTTTTTTCTTCTTTCCATCTTGAAAACTTAATTTCTTAAAAATTTAATATTTGCCCATTTTATAACTAAATAAAGATGATGTATGTATACATGTGTATGTATATGTGTGTGTGTCTTTAAATATACCGTATTTATGTATATTTTGAAATTTTAATCGATATGTAGGCAATGATTATAGTTGAAAGGATTTTACTTACATGTTGTCCTCTTATATAGTCCACATATCCTGTCACCTCTCTTTGTCCCTTTTCCCTTTCCTGCATTTTAAACTACTATTGGTTTAAAATTTCTAATATATATGTATATGTGCTCTTCATTTTCATTGTAAGAATATTTCATTTTTCTTTTCTTTTTTCACTTTTTGAATCCTTTCTTTAGCATTTCTTTAAATTTCATTCTTTTTCCACTTATCAACTCAACCGTTTCCGCTTTTTCTTCCTTCTCCTTCTTTTCGCTTTTCTCTTTTCCTTTTCCTTTTTTTTTTATTTATTTATTACCACCTCATCATGTCCTTTTTCCATCCTTTACCATAAATACATAAGTAAACAAGCAAGAAAAAAAAAAACAGAAGAAATGCACTAGATTGATCCTCATTTCGAGAAGAAAACAATCTAAAAAATATGAAGTATATTTATGCTTTACATATTATACTACCTTTTCTTTTTTGTTTTATTTTTTTCATTTCATTTTCGTCATTATTCACGGTCGTAACGTCTTCTTTTCTTTTTTCTCCTAATATTTTCAGATTTTTCATAACAAACCATCTCTTTCTCATTTAATTTAAAAAAAAATGGAAAGTTTAATGCTAAGAATAGTAACTCACGTATTATAAATAATATCGTACTTCTATCATTAAAGAAAAAAATTGTAATTTAATATTAATTTTTCTTTAAATATTAAAATTTTTAACATAGCAACAGTAATAATAATAATAATGACAACAATAATAATAATATTAATAATAATAATAATAACAATAATAAATGATAATAATAGTAAGTAATAATAATAATAATAACAATAATAAAAATAACAATAATGACAACAATAATAATAAAAGCAATAGTTTTGCTTTGTTATAAGTAAATATATCAGTGCTTTCTTCTTTTTTCCAGAAAATTTTTCTTTTTAAATTATTAGAAAAGTGAAATGCGAATTTTAGTATAAATATTTGC